GCCTCTCTCCATTGGCTGGGAATTGAACCCAGGTTTCCCTCATGGGAAATGAGAATTCTACCACTGCTCCACCACTGCCCCAGCCTTTATCATATAGGCCAGTCTTTATTTTCCTGGTATTTTCAGTTTCAGGTCTTATAGAAGAGGCGTGTCTGGGTGGAGAGGATGCAGGGTCTCAGTGGCATTGTAGGCTGTTTGGGGTGTCACGTAGCATGCTTAGTGAAACAAACTGTGTCTTAGTATGAGGAGGGAGGCACATCAGTACCCTCAGCCAGCTCTGGGAAACTTATTCCTGTTTTCAACTTCTATTTCATGCTTGACTTGAGTGGGCTTTATGTTTGGCTTTGCTTTCCAGGTGAAGCTCATCCGACTGGTTGGGATCATGCTGCTGTTGTATGTCAAGCAAGAACATGCAGCGTACATCACAGAAGTGGAAGCGGAGACTGTGGGGACAGGAATCATGGGGAGGATGGTGAGTTCCTGGCTGGTATGTTTGCTACTCTGAGGACCTTGATCCCGAGGGCTTTGACCCCGTGTCTGATGGCGCAGTGACATTTGAGGGTGCTGGCACTGCAAGGTGATTTGTACTCTCAAGCCAGGCTAGAGTGAGCAGACTATTTATAAATGATGTTTTAGCGAATTGCTGGCTGATTTGCCCCACTAGTATGTATCCTTGTGTTTGTGCAACACTGGAACATCTGGTTGATCCTCCCATTTAACCCAGGAAGTACTTTGAAGAGACTGTTTGGGTCATTGGTGAAGAGAAGGAATGCTAAAAGTGGATGTGCAACATCGTGTTCCTTGTGAGGCTATCTAAGTCCCGTTTTCAGGTTCTACTGCAGGAGCTTGGCTTCATGTGGAGAAGGGAGAGCATAGGATTTGCCTGTGATTAAGTGAAAAGAGCATGGGCTGACCTGATACATGCTAAAACATGGATGAACCTTGTCAACGTAGTGCTGAGTGAAATAAGTCAGTCGCAGGAGGACAAATTCTGTATAATACTACTTACATGAAACACCTAGAATAGGCAAGTGCATAGAGATCAAAGTCTATTAGTGGTTACCAGGGTGAATGGGATGGAGGGGGAGAGGAAGACATAGCGCTTAGGGGACATAAGCTTCTGCTAGGGGAGGGAGAAATTTGGGAATGGAGAAGGGTGATGGTTGAAAGACATGCTGAACATAATTAACGTCACTGAATTGTAATGTGAAGTTTGTTGAAATGGCAAATGTTTTGTTACATATTTATTTATCACAAAAAATGAAAAGAAAAAGACATGGATGGAAAGAGCTGGTTCTAGACCCGGCTTGCCCTTGGCTGACTAGTCATTTTGCCTTCTTGGATTTGTTTTCTTATCTGTAAAGTACAGATATGACTAGCTCCTCTACTAAATCTTACAGGGTTATTTTGGTGACTCATTAAGAGGAAAACATTTGGAAAATTTACAGGTTTAAGTGATTGGCAATGAAGATGTGAGTAGGATTTCTGTTTGGGGATCTTTTTTGTAGGGTAACAAAGGAGGCGTGGCGATCAGGTTCCGGTTCCACAACACGAGCATCTGCGTCGTGAATTCTCATCTGGCCGCCCACACCGAAGAGTATGAGAGGAGGAACCAGGACTACAGAGACATTTGTTCCCGAATGCAGTTTTGTCAGATTGACTCAAGCCTGCCTCCTCTCACCATTAACAAGCACGAGTGAGTCAGGGCATCTGCCCCATGCGTTTCACGTCTGATGCGCAGAGTTACGGCTCTGCGTTTTCTTGGGCAGGTGACTTGGGGAGGCTTCCCATTATAGGCATGGTAGTATCCGCCAGCTCTCGGTTACACGTGGATTATAGCTTTTGGGAATTTTCAGTTTCCTAACTTACCCTCTGGTGAAAACCAGATCAACTAAACCCGTTGCTGTTGAGTCGATTTCTGACTCAGGCAGCCCCATGTGTTACAGGGCAGAACTGCTCTGTGGGGTTTTTTTGGCTGTAATCTTTATGGAGGCAGATCACCAGGCCTTTCTTCCATGGTACCGCTGGGTGGGTTCAGCCCGCCAACATTTGGGTTAGTCATTAAGAGCAAACCATTTCCACCAGCAAGGAACCTTACCATCTGGCAGACCTCTGGAATCTTTCTCAAACATAATTTATTGCTAGAAAATGTCTAAGATTTATTTAACTCTGGGTCTGCTTGGAGGCAACATCATGAGGAAAGCAACCAAAGAGTGAGCATCTCAAATTATTTAGTTTTCAGAAGGATATATACAGATTTCATATGTCTGTTCTTTCCAGAAGTGTGAGTAATTGAGAGTTGGACTACATTTGTTTGCCTTCACTGATAGTCTTTTTGTCCTTTTGATTCAACTTCACAAAGCTATAGTTGCAGCTTCTTGGGGCCTCTTGTGCTAATATTTAAAAAAATTTTTTATTGTGATCTGGGTGAAAGTTTCTAGAGCAAATTCATTTTCCATACAGCAGTTTATACACATTTTGTTTCATGACATTGACTGCAGTTCCCCACAGTGTAACAGCTCTCTTCCCACTTCCTCCCCGTAGCTAACTCTTCCCTGTGTCCTTCCCTCCCATGCACTTCCACCCCCCAAGCAGTCTCCCTGTGCAAACACTGTCCTTCTGTTCTCCCGTGATTGATCACTCCAAGGGTGTATCTACGTGATGTAAATGTTCTCCCCATATGCCTGTTGTTTGGCTGGGAGCTACAGGAGTAAGTTCTGTTCCAGACCTGAAGGGTAACTAGGGGCCGTAGCCTCAGGGGTCTCACCAGGCTCTATCAGACCTGCAAACCTGGCCCTTTTCTTTTTTGTTTTTTTCTTCAGAATTTTGTGTTTTTATTCCACGTTGTTCTCCCATTCTATCCAGGATGTCCTGCTTGTACTATTTTCTTTATTTCTTTTCTCTCCAGACTTCTTACTTGTCTAAATTCAAAGCATATTAGAACTCCAGACTTTATGGTAACACCTGTGTCACTTCTCTTATAGAGAGGAAGATGCTACTGAGGTCATAGTCTCCGTCAGGAGTAAACAGCCAAGCCTCCCTTCCTGCATGCTGGCAGGGGGGGGAATGTCTTGGGCAGAAGCTCATTGGTATTCTGGAAGCCGACAAAATGGCTTTCATTCTCCAGGGAACCCAGCAGGGAGCGTGTCTTACTGCTGAGGTCTTCCTTTCCTGGGAACCTTCTGCATCCTTGTTTGTGAGGTTGCAGCTTATATGCCAGTTTGTGTGCGTTCCAGCCGTGGATGCATATATTTTGGGGGATGTGTATTGTGCAGGTTCTCTAGTGGTACATTTCCTGGGTTTGGATAGAGCACTGCTGGACTTCATTAGAGTGTGATGTCATATGGGAGCATTCTTTCTCCCAAAGCAGTTGGTATAATAAAACACCTGTCGCACTCTACACAGGTGTGCAGAAAGAGCCAACTAATAACATGTTGTTGTTGTTGTTGTTGTTATGTGCCGTCGAGTCCGCCCCGACTCATAGCGACCCCTCCTTGGGTTTCCGAGGCAATATCACTACGGAAGTAGGATTGCCCAACCTTCCTTCCGAGGAGTGGCTGAACTAATAACATGGTGGTGGTTAAATGCAGAATCCATTGTATAGGTGAAGCTTTGTTTCAGAGGAACTCAGCTCAGAAACCAGGGCAGAGAGGGTGCTTTGTGATCTGGGGTGTGCATGGAGGCAGAGGTGGTCATGGCATCATCCAGTTTGGGGCCCCTGAGCAATTGTACATAACTCCCAATACTTGACCTTTTTTGCCTTGGGAAACCAAGAATGAGGTAAATTAGCATCTTGCTTTTAGATCTTTGTAGTCTGTCTTTCCAACCATGTAAAAATAAAATAATCAAGGAGAACGAAAGGCTGTTTGTACTGAACTTGGAGCAAGGTAATTGAATAAACAGCATGTTAGACATGGTGTTGCAAGAGGAAAACTTTCCTTGAACATTGGGTCACCTCCCTGCCCAGGTCCCCAGAGGCTGAGCTCAGGGGCCTTCTTTGAGAAGCACTCTGGGTGGATGGGTCCAAATTCCTCCTAAACTTCTTTGTGCTCTGTCCTCACAGTGTGATCCTGTGGCTGGGGGACCTCAACTACAGGATAGAAGAGCTGGATGTGGAAAAAGTGAAAAAGCTCATTGAAGAGAAGGCCTTTCAAACCCTGTATGCATATGATCAGGTACAGATGGCCACACCTGTGCCTTGGGCAGGCAGCTGCCCTTTCACTGTGTGGGGATGGAAACGCTGGGCTTCCTACTCTCAGGCCTTTTCTTCTTCCACTTAAGAGGTTTCCCTGAGGAGCTGATTCTGTTCAGGCATTTCTTTGTTTCATCTGCATTTCCATTTTCTGGAGTTGTCAACCCATTGGCTCTTTCCTTGATGTGCCTTGTCTCCTTTGGAGCAAGAGTTCTCTCTTTCTCACTTGCTCACTTACTCAGGAGATCTGAAATTGGAGCTAAAAGGGTACCAAGCTTTTCATAAAGAAGATGCTTGGTATATGTAGGCTAGTTTAATCATTTTTTTAGGAGAGTCTCCTGCTTCCTCCCTCCCTCTCCTCACCAGACTTGCCCAGTAGGGATGGAGGACAGCTCTTCTTTCTGAGTGGCCTTCTTCACTTCCCACAGAAATCGGTTCTGTAACCTGCTATTGTCCACTATGGCTTGGCTTAGCATTTCCTCCTGGGAGCATTAGCCATTTCACAGGACAAGAGAAATCTGTTTCTCTTTGACTGTTTCCAGTCTGGTCCCCTCAATAGATCTCAAAACTGTTCATGTGGTTCAGAATGCTAAAGTCCTTTTTCTTTATAGTTTTATTCCCCTTTTAATACACCAAGTATTGTCATTAGTCTAAATCTTTTTATTACCCATTTTTTTTTCCTCCAGTGCAGGTCAGTTGAAGGGGGTAAAAACAACAACAGCAGCCAATTTTGTATGTCTGTCTATATGGAATAATCGTCTCTTTATTAGCACATTGTTCTCTCCAGTTTTGTTCTTTGGAAAATTACGTTTATTTTCTTCAATCCCATTTTAGCATTAACCCAGCCAGTTTTATAACTATCTGTGTATTGCCTCTCTATTTGGGACTGAAGCATTCTACTTTCCCTTCCAGTTTGATGCTGGTCTCTTCTTGCTTTCTTGTCTTGTCTTTCCTGAGGTGGTTGTGGTGGTTTTCGTTATGTGCCATCGAGTCGGCCCCGACTCATAGCGACCCCTCCTTGGGTTTCCGAGGCAGTATCACTATGAAAGTAGATTGCCCAACCTTTTTTCTGGTTAGCAGTCAAATGCCTTAGGCACTATGCTACCTGAGGTTATAGTCCTCCTTTTGTTGTGTGGTCTTTTTTTTGCTTTCCAGATGGTCTTAAGGTCTTTACACACCCATTCAAGAAGCATCCACTTACATTAATACATAAGTTATATTGTTTCCTGTTACTTTTCCTGTAATAGTTTTTCAGGAAGTTTGTCAAGTGGTATTCCCAGGATAACTGACCCTGTCTCCAGTGTTAGAGTGCACAGGTCTTCACCATTCTGCTCAATACCAAGTGTGGTGCTCCAGGGAAGAGGCAAGAGCACCTGTGTTTTTTTTTCCCTCTTTCTGGGAATGTGATCTGGAAGGAGCCCCTAGCATTAGGAGGGATGCAATAGGGGGGATGCTAGTTATTATTAGAATGTGCTAGACACTAAGTTGACAGTTAATCTTCCCAACAATCCTAAATTATAAATCCCAAATTTACAGATGGGAACACCAAGGCATGAGCTACCCCATAGGTCACAAAGCTAATTTCACAACACAGTTCTATCTCCTTGTATGTAGTACACATAGATGAAGTGTTTGGTACCAGGAAGGGATAAACTGTGTTCAGTGGTACCTAATCTTGCTAGAGACATCTCAGTAAGATGGTACTTAGGCTCCTGAGATGCAGATACACTCTTAGAAAAGAGCCCTTAAAACTGTATCAGTGAGGGAATGGCCAGCTTGCTCTTCTTCCTAGGAGTTAGTGGGACTCAAGATCTTAAGGAATAGCTTTCTCATGGGACTTTTCCCTTTGGGTTCGAATTTGAATTCCAGATTTACTTGCTTTTCTCTGCCAATTCAAGATTTTTTCTTTCATTGTTTTGTATAGTTGAAAAGTCAGGTGGCTGCAAAGGCTGTCTTTGAAGGCTTCACAGAGGGCCAGCTCACGTTCCAGCCTACTTATAAGTACGATACTGGCTCTGATGACTGGGATACCAGGTAGGTCAGGGGTTGCTTCAAGGAACTGAGGTTCTGGGAGGCACTTGCTTGTCATAGACCTAAAGAAAAAAGATGAGTTGTTTATAACTTTTCTCCTATACTTTGAGCTCTGGATATTTTGAGTCCGGGTCAACATTTTCTGTTCTTATCTGCTCATTAAGCAGCCAGCCTTTCCTACTGCTTTCTTTCCCTTAGTTTTTTGCCCGCATTTAATTTGTCTGCCTTTCCTTTGTTCCCTGATAATTCTTGATACTCATTTATCTTTTCATGTCTGCTTAGGGTAATTAGATGATTCCAACTAAGTTAGCTTGTGCTTGGTCATGACAAGATGGTTAATATTTTCATTACAAGGCAGTGAATATTTTTTATTAGTGCTCAATGTGTGCTACACACTGTTCCATACACATTGCTTGTATTATCTCATTTAATCTCAACAACTCTGTAGATACAATTTCTTATCCTCCTTTTATAAATCAGGGAACTGAGGCCCACAGGGAGATCAAAGAATCTCCCAAGCATGCAAGTGAGAGAGCGAAGATTTAAACACAGGCAGTCTGAATTCAGAGCCTGTTCTCTTAACCACTATCCTTTAAAAACTGTGGAGTACTTACTCTCCAGTTGCCTTCCTGGCTCTCTCCTGATCTCCACTGGAGAGTAAAGAGCAGAGAATCTGTCTGAATGGTGTTTTTGCTTTGAGCTTTTGTAGTTGTTTTGGATGATTCCGCCCGGGATACTTGTTTTCCCTTGGTGGACCTGAGTCAGTCCTGCCTCATCAGGTCACTTAGCTGATGACTAGAGGCTGTGCTCTGTCATCCCTGACCCAGCCAGGGCACCAGCTGTTCAGTAGGTGCTGCTGTCTCTTTGAGGGCTCCCAGTGTGGACTTTGCATTTCAGTGAGAAGTGTCGTGCTCCTGCCTGGTGTGATCGGGTCCTCTGGAAAGGGAAGAACATCACTCAGCTGAGTTACCAGAGCCACATGGCCCTGAAGACCAGTGACCACAAGCCCGTCAGCTCAGTATTTGACATTGGGGTAGGTGGGCAGCTCTGCCTGCTGTCATTCTGTGGGGAATTGGTTCTCACAGCCCAAACCACTTGTGTCTTTCTGGTCTTCACCTCTTTGTTAGTGGGGAAGTTTCTTTTAAACATTGTTTTAACATTATAGAAGTAATCTACTGTTGGTATGTATCTACTCTGTATTTCTACCTACATGTCTATTCTTACTTGCTTTTGGACTGTCTTTTCAGACCTCTCTTTATGCATTTAAAAATAAGTCTGTCAGTGCTCTATATACATCACGGAGGATTTCTTTTTCCTTTTTTTGGTAAAAGAAATCATATTATATGTATTATTTTGAGAACATCTTTTTCCCCACTCAATACGTCTTGGAGATCTTTCCATGTCAGTAAAAGTAAAGCTTATCATTATTTTGAAGGAGCTCTGGTAGTGTAGTGCCTGAGGCACTTGACGGCTAACCAGAAGGCTGGCAGTTCAAATCCACCACCCACTCCTTGGAAGGAAGGTTGGGCAATCTACTTCCGTAGTGATACCACCTCAGAAACGCAAGGAGGGGTCGCTTTGAGTTGGGTCTGACTCAACGGCACATAACAACAACATTATTTTGAGAGGCTACAAAGTATATTCTGCAGTGTGGATGAACCATATGTTTATGGTTTAAGTTGTTTCCAAAGTTCTGCTATTACATGTAGTGCTGTAGAGAGCATACTCCATGTCCATCTTTCTGTACCTGTGTGAATATTTCTATAGCATGAAATTCTTATAGGTAAAATTAGTGACTCAAATGTAAATGTGTTTTAAATTAGACACTGCTAAGTGATCCTCCCAATAGTCCTTACCATTTTCTGCCAACTATGAGCTCAGGAGCTCTGGTAGCATAGTGGCTAAGGCACTTGACTGCTAACCAGAAGGCTGGCAGTTCAAACCCACCAGCCACTCCTCAGAAGGAAGGTTGGGCAATCTACTTCCATAGTGATACTGCCTCAGAAACCCAGGGAGGGGTCACCATGAGTCAGTTCTGACTTGACAGCACATAACAACAACAACATGTATGAGCTTATTTTTTCACACTCTTGCCAATATTGGATTTTATGAATCTTTAAAATTTTTGCCAACCCAATGAGGAAAAATATATGTATATATGCATACATAACAAAAAAACCAAAACTCACTGCCATGGAGTTGGATCCGACTCATAGTGACCCATCCTTGGGTTTCTAAGGTGGTATTACTACAGAAGTAGATTGTCCAGTCTTCCTTCCAAGAAGTGGCTGGTGGGTTTCAACCTCCAGTCTTCTGGTGAGCAGTCAGATGCCTTAGGCACTATGCCACCAGAGCTCCCATGTGCATATATATACATACATAATATATAAAAATAATTCATGGTTTTAGATTACATTTCCCTGGTTACTAGTAAGGTTGTTTCCTATCTATTTGCATTTCTTCTTCTGTGATGTTGGTGTTTCTTTGTATTACCAACTCTGAAGGGTGTGAATAGAGTTGTATCAGAATCTATGAGAGTCTGGGTATTTTGAAAAAAGTCTGATGAATGCTATATGAAATTTTATTACTGGAAAAGGGGAAAAAGTTTATAATTCAAAATACAGAGGCAAGGTTGACAGAATCTTTTTGATTCATAGATATGGTTTAAAAAAAAAAAAAACTTAAGAAATCAAAGCCCAAGATTTTCACTGCAGGCTTGTTTGCAGCAGCAAGCAAAATGGAAGTGGGCTTCGGGGGTCTTTCTGCCGTAGACCTAAGCCTGGCAGAACTGCCAACCACACTTTCACTCTATCTTCTTTCTGCTAATCAGAAAGCAGTTGGCTTTACCTCAAGCTTTGCCTCTGGGGGACCCTACTAATGATATTGTTAATTGGGTTCTTTGTTAATTAATTAAATCTTTTTAGCTTTCACTTTCTGTAGAAGATGACTAAGTTGCTATCAACTCCTCTTTCCCAGTGCTATGGATGACCTCTGCACTGAAAAAAAAGAAATGGGCAGAAGCCAAGGCACTCAGCCTTTGATGTTTCCCTTCCAGGTGAGGGTCGTAAATGAAGAGCTTTACCGGAAGACTCTGGAAGAGATTGTGCGCTCCCTGGATAAGATGGAAAATGCAAACATTCCTTCTGTTTCCCTCTCCAAGCGAGAGGTAGGAAGGACACAATAATATTGGCACCAGACTCTTCTACTCATAGAACTTACATTTCCCTCAGCTACTAGGGCTAAGAAGAGGCACCCAGCAGACTACTGGAGTCTTTTCCCTCTTGATGGGCTGCTTCTAGATGAAGTGAGGCCAGTGATGCCTTACTTGAGAAGAGATGAGTTGTTGGTGTAGGTTGTATTTATCTCCTGATCCTTTAAGCCATCTATCTTTGTGGCTCATATATTCCATCCACACATGGACCATCCATGAGTTAAGTAATGGTGTGTTCTTATTTAGTATGTGCCATAGAGTCAATTCTGACTCATAGCAACCCCTATAGGACAGAGTAGAACTGCCTCATAGGTTTTCCAAGGTTGAAATCTTTATGGAAGCAGATTCGAACCACTGACCTTTTGGTTAGCAGCTGAGCACTTTAACCAGTTGGCCACCAGAGCTCCTTAAGTAATAGCATAGATGATCCAAAGTGGTGTTTGATTCTGGAGTAACTGGTATGTATCCTTGCAATGGATTTGCCTTCTTTGTGATGCTTTGCTTTGACTGGGGTTTAATTGTATCTGAATGTCTTCGATACACATGAGTTGCTGGGAAGGAAAGCAGTGTAGGATATGATGAGCAGTGGGAGGAGTCAAATAATAGTGGAAGGCTTTTCATGAAGTGCCACAGCATAACTCATTCAGAAGTGATAATACCAAGCAGTTGCTCATCTGGGGGTTTATGGTGAGGATGCTTTTAATGCCCTAGATACCCAGTTCTTTGGAAGGATGAGCTTGATCTTCATGTTTGGGGGTGGAATTTGTGAAGGGTGTTTTGGAAATGATCTGTGAGTATAGAAGAAGTAAACTTTGACTCCAGGAAATTTATTTACCAGACAACTTGAGTTTTTTGGGTTTCTGGGTTAAACACAGACAACAGTTCTTTTAGTGGTAGCTGTGACCTCCCAGGTAAATATTTATCAACACAGAAACATTAGTTCAAAGAGATGGGTCTTCATTTTCTTTCCAGGGTAAGAATAGCCCAGTTGGGGTAGCTGGGCAGGTTGCCAAGGAGAGAGCACTGGTCTTGACTAGTCCCGGGCTTGCTCCCAGTTCTGTTTTCAGAATGTGAAGTACATGCACTTGCAAGTAGAATCCTTCACAATTCATAATGGACAAGTACCTTGTCAGTTTGAATTCATCAACAAGCCTGATGAAGAGTCCTACTGTAAGCAGTGGTTGAATGCCAATCCCAGCAGAGGGTTCCTCCTACCAGGTAAGACCTCTGCTCCAAGGCTCTCAATTGCTGGTTTAGGAAACAACCTATCCTGTCCATACTCACTCTCTTAAACTAAGCTTTTGGTTTTGAGTGTTTTGTTTTCCATTTAAAAGTTTTTTCAAGCCCTTGGTTCAAGTGGATGAACCAAGGAGTTCTGGTGGCACAGTGGTTAAGGACTCAGCTGCTAAACAAAAGATCAGCAGTTCGGACCCAGCAGCAGCTCTGTGGGAGAAAAGACCTGGTGGTCTGCTCTTGTAAAGATCACAGCCTAGGAATCCCCATGGGGCGGTTCTACTCTGTCCTATAGGTTTGCTAAGAGTCAAAATCAACTCAGCTATACACAACAGCAACAGTGGATGAACCCATTCATGAATAAAATATAAAAATAGGATTGTGAGTTCAATTTCTAAAGAAGTCTCATTAGTAGCTTGTATGTTCCATAATTTCATGGAAAAAGAAAACAGGATTGTTGTGAAGTAGGTGCTATTGTTAAAGGAACTATTTTTACTGCCTGTCTCACTATAAGGAGCTCTGGTGGTGCAATGGTTAAAGCATTCAACTGCCAACCAAAAGGTCTGCAGTTCAAATCCACTAGCCACTCTTTAAGAGAAAGATGAGGCAATGTGCTTCCGTAAAGATTTACAGCCTTGGAAACCCTGTGGGGGCAGTTCTACTGTGTCCTAAAGGATTTGCTGTGAGTTGAAATCAACTTGATTTAGTTTCACTCTAATCAACCTCTGGGAGCTCTGGTAGCAAAGTGCCTAAGGGACTTGACTGCTAACCAGAAGGCTGGCGGTTCAAACTCACCAGCCACTCCTTGGAAGGAAGATGGGGCAATCTACTTCCGTAGTGACACTGCCTCAGAAACCCAAGGAGGGGTCTCTATGAGTCGGGTCTGACTTGACGGCATATAACAACAACAATCAACCTCCAGTTATCCGCTGGAGATTATCAGTTATCCATGAAGATTGGTACCAAATCCATTGCCATTGAATTGATTCCAACTCATAGTGAACGTACTTTGGTCACGTTGTCAGAAAAGACCATTCCCTGGAGAAGGATATCATGCTTGGATAAGTGGAGGGTCAGCAAAAAAGGGGAAGGCCCTCATTGAAATGGATTGATACAGTAGCTGCAATAACGGGCTCAGGTTTAGCAAGGATTGTAAAGATGGTGCACGACTGGGCAGTGTTCTGTTGTACGTAGGGTCACTATGAGTTGGAGCTGACTTGATGGCATCTAACAACAACATAACAACATAGTGACCCTATAGGACAGAGTAGAACTGCCCTATAGGATTTCCAAGGCTGTAGTTTATAGAAGCTGACTGCCACATCTTTCTCCCACAAAGTGGCTGGTAGGTTCAAACCACTGACTTTTTGATTGGTGGCTCTTAGCCACTGTGCCACCAGGGCTCCCTGTGGAGAATAATAATGGATGGTAATTCAGAAGTTATATCTAGCTGTAGAATGTCTTATCTGAGCTTCTCCCCTAAATTTTCCTTTTCATAGCTGTGTTGTGCTGTGCAACAGGGCTTAAACATGTTACACAGTAATTATATTTTCCACGGAGTCAGGTATGTTGATCTTACCTGGTTCAGAGAAACCTCTCTGATCATGTCTTCTTATTGTATCAATATTTTCAGTTTGAGCTGTGCTACTCAGTACTTGAATTGGATTTTATGGCACTTAACCTTTTCAGATGTTTTTGTAGTCCCACTTGGGCTGTGCACTCCCTATCCTTGGGTCTCTGGAGTGCACAGAGATACTGATTGGCTGGCTGACACCTCTTATTTCCTTTCCTTAACCTTTATGTCTTACCCTCTTATCACCTTTCCCCCTTTACTCTAGGCTTCTCCCAAGCCAACATAATTTTTTAAATTTTTCTCCAGATTCTTACATTGAAATTGAATTGGAGCTATTTGTAAATAAGACCACGGCTACAAAGCTCAACTCGGGTGAAGACAAAATTGAGGACATTCTGGTTTTACACTTGGAGAGGGGAAAGGATTACTTTTTGTCTGTGTCTGGGAACTATCTGCCCAGCTGTTTCGGGTCTCCCATTCATACATTGTGCTACATGAGGGAGCCAATCTTGGACCTACCACTTGAAACTGTTAGAGAGCTGGTGAGTTACATGCCACAAGAAAATATGTAGAACTGTGTAGTAGTCAAGCTATACAAAATGATATTCCTATGCCCACCTCCTCAGGGACCTGAGAATTCTTCAGCCTCCCCAGACCTTGGTATATCAGTTACATACTTCTGTGTAGCAAACCACCCTAAAATTTCAGTGGCTTAATACAACAAAGTTTTTTTTTGCTTCTCTTAGTTCTGTGGGTCTCCAGCATGGTTCTTCTAGTCTTGTTTTGGCTTCTTTGCGTGGTTGTAGTCAGATGGCAGCTGTGAATACTGGATAAATGATTACTTTCTTTAATAAGGATCAGCAGAAAGCTGGTTCTGATGAGGCAGAGATTAAAGATATCCCAAATGCTTAGCTTTTCCAAACTGCTGTACCATTCCATCATCTCTAACCTCAACTGCTACTTCCCCCTTCAGTACTCTCCCTCTTGCCTTTGGGTTTGATAATTTGCTACAGTGTCTCACAGACCTCACAAACCATACTCAGATTAAGTGGTTCATTAGGGAAGTAATGGTACAACTCGGGATTGGGATCAACTCAGAAATAATAGAACAACTCAAGACACAGTTCCTTAATCAAGATAGCTGCTTCTCACCCTCTGCTGCCAGGCTCTGCTGAGGGCTTTCTTGGGCAAGTGTTATAACTCTTGGCTCCATGGGTCAGCAAGCCCCACCACAGCCATCTCTCATTGGTCTCTTGGTTCCTGCTGTCTCGTGTCACTATCATTCTGGCTATTGCTGCATTACTGCTGCCTCTTATGTGTTACAGTGCGCTCTCTCTCTCTCTCTTGCTCTCGCTCTCTCTCTCTTTCTCTCTCTCTCGGATTAGGATGCTCCCAGCACAGGGACCCCAAAGGAAGTATTCCACCCTGCCTTTTCTTGATGGTCATGAGGTCCCCTCTCTGCTCTGTAACTGGCTCTCTCTTAAGCCTAGCAGGATCACAAAACTAACCAATTCTCTCATTCAAGTTCCATATTGCTTATTTGCATAGTGTCACCCCCACAATGGTGCCATACACCTTGTTTACATTATTAGCAAATTGTCCAAAGCTCTTGGTGAGCCATAAAACCTTATTTGCATAGTCCTACCCAGTCATTGGGAGCTCTGGTAGTGTAGTGCCTAAGGCACTTGACTGCTAACCAGAAGGCTGGCGGTTCAAACCCACCAGTCATTCCTCGGAAGGAAGATTGGGCAATCTACTTCCGCAGTGATACTGCCTCGGAAACCGAAGGAGGGGTCGCTATGAGTCGGGTCTGACTCAATGACGGCACATAACAACACCACCACCACCCAGTCATTTGGTGGGATTTATAAGGACTATGGCTTGAAGGGCCATATTAAATACTGCATTACACTGGAGCATTCTTAATGGGGAAGCTCCCTCACATGTCTTGTACTTGCTGTTCAGGCTGCCTCTCTCTATATGGTCTCTCATTATTCAGTAGGCTACTCTAGACTTCCATAAGTGGTAGCAAGCACATTCCAAGAGTGTGAGGCCAGAAGCTGCAAGACCTCATGTGTAAGCACCAAAACTCACAAAGTACCACTTCTGCTACATTGTATTGGTTAGACCAAGTTATGAAGCAGGCCCTGATTGCAGAGGGTAGGGAAACAGTCTCTACCTCTTGATGGGAAGAGCTGCAAAGTGTTGTGGTCTTGTTGTTCAGTCTTTTCTGAATAGTACATTGTAGAGAAACTTGGCCTGGATCTGAAGATAATGAAGATTCCCTAGCCCATGATATTATTTGTGGTTTTTGTTTTTGTCACTTTGTAGTTCGTTTTCCTAAACTAATTTTGCTGAGATCTAAAAGGTGTCTATGGAGCTAATGCTACTACAAGGCTAGTTTGGAGCAGATTTTTGCTAATATGTATGCTTCTCTCCCTCCCCCCAATGCATTTTTTTAGATGTATGAACTCTTGACCTCTGTTCTCTTCATTGTATACATGAAAACAGAGGCCCAGTCAAGGAGAGTGATTTGTCACAGGTCACATGATGAGTTAACAGTGGACCTGGACCACTGTTTTTGGACTTCTAAGTCTATTATGTTATTTCCTCACCAGACTACACCATCTCTCTGGTTCTAACAGTGAAATGCTATGGGCTTGATTCCCCTGCCTCCAAGAAGATGGTGCATATTTCACCTATTTCATTGAAACTGCTTACCATACCCTCTTCCAATTCTCAAAAAATCATCTTTTGCCCCTTGATTGTACCACCTGATTTCATTTTTGCCTGTGGAATCTTTGGTTAGGGGTATTGAAATGTTTCCTTCTTCCTTGGGTTTGGTGGCCCCATGTCATATGTTCTGATGCCAGCCTGGCGGAAGTTCCATTGGAGGGCCTTCTTGTCAGGAGTTTTATTTCTTTTCAGACTCTGATGCCAGTACAGACTGAAGATGATGGGAGCCAGTTGGAGAAGCCCATGGAAATCCCCAAAGAGCTATGGATGATGGTTGATTACCTGTACCGAAATGCTGTCCAGCAGGTAGGGAGCAGTTAGTGACGAGAAAGGGCATCAGCCCACAAGAGCTGTAGGCCTAAAAAGCTTTTTACCTTAGGAAACCTACAGAGAACTGTTCTTCTTTTAGAGAGTGAATGGGGGTCTGATGGGTTCATGTCTCACTCCACTATGGGATCTACTATTACATTGAGCACTGATTCCTCCCCCCTCAACCCGTCCTGCACTCCCTAGGAAGCAGTCTCTCACAGGAAGGTCTTCCCAGTACAGTAAGTTCCCTCCTCTGGCCTCTGAGGCCGCCTCAGCTAGAATATCATCTGGAGGCCTCTTTGGATGCCAGCTTGCTCTTACCAGATTCTGGAAACGAGAGGGCCTACCTTGTTGATAAGTCAAGCAGAGGCAGGGGACCAGATGGAAAACCCTGGGCCAGGAGTCAGGAGACTTGAGTTCTAGGGTATCTTGGGCAAGCTCATGGATTGAGATTGGTTAGTTTCACTGACCCAGGGAGACCTATACAAACCACCACTTTGGAGCAACATACATTTTATTTTTTCTAATTGTGGTAAATACATATGTAATAAAACATTTGCCATTTCAGCTTTTTTTGAAGGGAGTGGTAAATACATATGTAACAGAATGTTTGCCAATTTTTAAATTGTGGTAAATACTTATGTAACAAAACTTTTGCCTTTTTATAAATTATGATAAATACATATGTTATGAACCATTTGCCTTTTTTTTCAATTGTGGTAAATACATATGTAACAAAAAAATATTTGTTACTTTTTAAATTATGGTAAATATGTATGTAACAAAACATTTGCCTTTTTTTTTTTTTTTT